AAAAAATATAATAGGTAAACAGATGCAATTCTAATTGAAATAAATTTACCTCATAGTTGATAGTTAAACAGTTCATTGTTAAAATTTTTTTTTTTAGGCGACTTTGTCTTTTGATATAGCAATAAAAAATTTTATATTTTAATGTTACATTGTAGAACTCAGTGCAGTTTACATAATTAATGCAAGATTAATCTGATTTTCATATTTGTAATGCATAAAAAATATGTAATGAGGTGTAGCAAAATTGAATAAATAGAAGAAAAGTTAATTAAAATTTTAATTCTATTCTCAATAATTAATCGGATAAAAAACACATACCTATAAAGTTTGTAGAAGGTTATTGAATTGAATGAAGAAAATATAAACCAGTATACTAAGATTTTATTTAATTTGTATTAGGATCAATATGGTTAAAACATGACAAAACAAAAAAAAAACAAAAGTAAGAAATAAACTTGTTTTTATTATTATTCTTATTATATTATTTTTATTGATTTAATTTTTAATCATTAGATTCTAAATCTTCTTTGAGGCCTATCGATAATTCAGTTGAAAATCTTGAGGTTCAAGCTACGGACAGATCATTATAGAAAGCCAGAGAGAAATAAGTCCAGATCGTACTAATGTAAAAAGGCGAAGAGGAAATAAAGAAGCCAGCTTGACTAGTGGCAACATTGGTATACTATTATTGTATAATTTTATAATATAACATATAATAATAAATTTGTTATTTAATTTAGATATGATTCAAAAGGACAATTCATGTTCTCATATATCCAAAAATACAAATAAACAATATTTAAATATCTTATCTTCAGTCAGAAATAATTCATCTGACGATTTTTATGGCCAACAATCATTGACATCTAATAACACTTCATTTTCTTCAGACAGAAGCCCAAATGAAGATGCTGATTTGATTAGTGGCGATAATAGTATACAAAAGGATAATTTACGTTTCTATATGTCTAAAAATACTATAAGACAAAATGAGCAAACTTTAAATATCTCGTCTTCAGTCAGAAATAATTTACCTAAAAGTTTTTATGACCAACAAT